TTGGCAATGAATGTTTGCAGCTCCAAACTTCAAGTTAATTATTGTCTTATGATGTTTAAATCATTTATCCAATTTTTTGTATTTCTGTAATAATTATAAGACTTTTGTCCACACCATTTCGAGGTTCTAATTTTGAATGAATTGACATGATTTTCCTACACTTGTCTTAAAAAAATATATATTAATATGATTCTCTTTAAAACGAAAGATTTGAAAAGTATTTATCTTAGGCATAGCCCCAACACCACAAGACTTAACAAGTGTAGTATCTCAAAAAAGTATCTATCCACACTGTATGAAACATTATGAGACCACTAATGATAGATATTGGGACATAACATTTACTTTGGTATATAGTTTAATATAAGTAATGCAATGTGTAATTAATGTGATGTTCGGTTACAAAATATACTTAGGATCAATATGCCACAGAGCCATGTATACCAACCCTCCCTGAACATCATGAGTTGCATGTAGCATTTCAGAAGCCATTTGACCCATCCTGGCAGATACTTTTTGAGATACTGTGCATTGCCAGACATTCATCATAGTTCCCACCTGATCTACATTCATACCATATTCTAGTCTGGTATCTAGTTACTGGAAATAAAATGCATGTGACACGAAGCAGAACATGGAACCAAACTCGAAGTTCCTTTGAAAATTTGGATTAAAAGACACGCATAATGGGATCACGTCTCTGCAAACATGAAGTACTGCCAACAGGATCTGTCCTCAAACTTATTGTACATCTGCATTTTTCTTATTTTTTTTTTCGGGGATGCAATTATATCTAATGTGAATACTGTGGTGTCATATTTCAGTTTCTTTTGTTTGTATATATCATTAAAATTAGGGTTTACTGGTAATTTTGAATTATATTATTTTGTGTATAAATTCTAGTCTAATGATGTACATGTATTCTTTTTACTTTAGAAACTAATATTTCCTCCACAACACAGGACCATTTGGGATTTTTTATGTAGTGAAACAAATTATGTACTTTTAGTGACGTAAGCTGTAGAATTTTGCCATCATACATTTCATTATATTTTTGGTAAACTTCAGTAGGCTTTTGTGCACGTTAACATGGGTCGGTTTTCGCTCTCTATGTTGAGATCTTTGCTAGCACATCACAATATCTTGAGGTTATGTGATCAAAACATTGCACTAAGTAGACTTTGTATAGTGACCTTTACTGAGCTGCACCCTCTCTAGCTGTTGATATTTTCTGTAGAGTAGATGTACATTCCAAAATTAATAAGTAATTAGGAGAGGTACAGGTGTGTGGCGAGAACCTAAGTTATTAATAAGCCTGAGGCAGTAGACAGGTGTACGACCTTTCTACTGTGTTAATCTTGAAGCTTAATGAGGAAGGGCTTATGCCAAGATAAATAACAATATTGAAGGGATATTTATAAAAGTAATAATATATCATGATATTTATGCCAGTTGTGCTCAAATCAGACAACAATTTGTGTCAAGAATGAAAGAAATAATAAGAAGGAAAGATAGATAAACAGAGAGAGAGAAAGAGATAGAAGAGAGAGATAAATAAGTGAAAGAGTACAGAGAAAGTAAGTGAGAGAGAGCATAGAGAAAATGAGTGAGAGAGAAAGAAAAGACAAGAGAGAAAGAGGGGTTAGGGTGAGGGAGAACAACAAACCAGATGATGACAAGAATTAACCATTACAGCCAATGATCCCATCACACACAACCTCGATCCCATCAAGTTGCTAACGGACGACGCCACCATCGCCGTCTGGAACAACGAAGGACTGCCCTCTGACCGCATGTCCACCGAGAATGCCATCATCCTCACCAACTCTGACCCTGGCCGCTCATCATTGATCCTCAGGTACGGTTGAACAGAGGTGAGCATATGAAGTCCTTTGGAAGGTGCTTGTGTGTTAGTGAAGGGGTTGTATCATGATTAATAAATGAATAAGCATTATCATAGAATATTATGCTTTTGTCAGTTCATTATACCTGGTGCAAGCTGTTCTGGGTGCTTGTAGTTTTCTTGAATGATTGAACACATTTATATGTTTGTGTAAGTGTGTTCATCATTTCAAGTGTGTGTGTGTGTGTGTGTGTATGTGCACATACATGCATGCATGTGCATGCATGCATCACACAGATATACTGCCCGATTCTGGAGTCACTAATTCTAAGGGATAACTTAACTCTGCTCTTAATTTTAAGGTCGCTGCCACCAGACCCTGGACAGTATGTAGCTCGTTAGGTAGCGGGCAGAGTAAGCTAGGCATTGGGTTGGGTTTTCAATGACCAAATCGAGACTGAGAGAAGGGTGAAACATCAAGCATGACTTACAGTAACTAATTTATTTCTTGCATCTTGTCACAATACAAAAAGAGTTGGCCTTCCTCAGAAGAACCACTATTATGTTCATTACACTACATCAATACGTCCTTCCTCAAATAACTACTATTATCATCTTCATTCTTCATAACAACAACATCCTTACCTCGGTCATTCCTTCTTACCATAACACCAGCACATCAGACTGCACCACATGTTAGAGTATAGCACCACATGTGTATCGCCCCCATCCAGGTACCTCCACCTAGTATGGAACTCCTCGGTATTCTTAGGTACACATACCAGGTACCTCGTTCACCTCTACTCTTGCTGGGTAGATGGGATACTTCCCAGGTAATCATGCCAGTACTGGTTCCACGCCTGGGTATTTGGTCGCTCCACATAGCGACCATGAAACTCAAACACACAATTATTTTCTCCTATCATGGGTGGTGATATGTAGGTATCCACAGATTCACAGTGGAGGTGCATAATGGCCATAAACAGTCACACCACAGATGGAGTCCCTCACAGTGTGGTAATAGCCGACGCTCTGGACGTGTGCGTACCTGTTTTGGTGAGAAGGCAGGCATGACTGAGCAAGGCCTGATGGGCTTTTATCACCACACTAGTACAACTATTACTTCACTTTATAACATCAGGCAAGGTTTTAAGGTGTAAAAACTGCTAAATAAGTCTTTTTAGGCAGAATGGAGCACGGTGGAGGTCACTGACCTGTTTTGGTGAGAGAAGCAGGCGCTAACTGAACTAGGCCTACAGTTTCAATCTTTAATTTTCACTTTGATATTATTCTGGTTCATATACACTTTCCTATCTATTGTGACCTTATGCCTCATAATAATATATCTTAATCCTAAATTACATACTAAAGTAAGGATCTGGTTTCCAGTCCTAGAAATGGGCTATATCATTAGCTCAAAACTGTAGCCAGGGCAGAATGGATGCCAACCTGAACAAAGCCTAGCGTCGTATTTTCATGGCGTGGGTACATCCACTTCACTTCTTGTATTGTTCGTGGTTATTCGTTACCTGAGATAACGAGGTGTATTAAGCTCACCAAGGCATACAAGATATTTTCTTTGAAGAATAGTTTCTGGATCACTTCAACGCTTCAGAGGTCTGATACATTATCCTTTTCCAGATCATTGTTCTCTTATATTTTCATCTGATACTTGCGGTAGTTACAATATGTTCACTAATCGTTCCAGACGTAAATAGCATGACCTTCAAACGATCTACACTTATCCCTTATAGTCCGTATCAATTGGACCTTCCCAATCATCCTAGATACCTTGAGTTCTCCTTAATGCTATGAGTATAAACTTAATATTATATGACCGTACCTTGGTACAATTCGTATAAAACAACATACAGTAGGTGAGTTATCCTTTATAAATCTCCCGTGGTCTACCGTTTTCTGTAACACTACAAGCGCAGTGGATTTGAATGTTATGTAGCGTAATATGAATAAAAGATATTAAGGATAATAATGATGTGCGCAGTACATCATGTCTCAAGCATTGCTCTAAATGTTCAGCTAGGATACACATGCCTGGGAGTGTCCTTGACTCCTTAGGTTCTCTTCATGAGGGAAGAAGGTCAGAACTCGTGTTCTGTCTCCATATAATATCATGTATAAGTCAAAGTTACCGTATCTACACAAAATTTCCTCTATTCCAGACATATTTTCTGACATATTTCAACATGAATACTTATTGCTTTGTTGTCTTAGCCAAACAAACACACTCACACAGTTACACATTGGGATACAAGATCCAATTGCCTATTTAGCTTGTAGGGTTACGTGTATTATGTTGTCTAGCACTCAGGATGGATGGAAACTAAGGTGGTTTTCTTATATAATATAAGTTATATGGTAGACAGTCTGGTGCTGGAGGAGCCGTGTGGTGAGAGCTGCTCAGTAGACACGTTCGGTGAGTAGCGTGTTGAAGGAGGTAGATGTGCAGGAGCTTCGTTGAGAAGATGTTGCCTGTTGCTGGCCTCCAGGTTGAATGAGAACAGGACAGAGCTTGGAGGAGGTGTTGCGTGTTCAGGAACCAGAGCAGAATGAGAGAGCTGGTTGGTGAGGACGCTCAGAAGGACAGCTGGTGGGTCGCCATGCTCGCCGGCGGGAGCGAGGACTGCCAGGCAGGAGAAGGGCCGCCAGGCAGCCGGAGGAGGAGGTGTTCCGGTGTTCAAGAAGAGAGGCCAGAATGAATCTCAATGGAGAGACAGAGCTTATATACACAGCAGCCTGAGTCATCTGTGAGTCATGGTGGGAAAACCCAGAAGTAGCCGGTCTTTTGGCTCTGTTGCTAGGATACTGTGGCATCTGGTGACGCCCCCTCTTGGGCCGCTAGTTTGGTTGCTAGGAAGACGTAGCAGGTGGGATGCAGCTATGCAGTTGTAGGGGAGACGTCCACTACAAGCTACCAGTTATCAGCAGTGATCTTGATATTTTATGATTTTGGGCCATTTTTATGCAATACTATTATTTTATTATTATTATTCGTAGTAGTAGTAGTATCACAAACATTTACCTTAAGTTTTTCTTTTTGGTACCGGTACTAATTATGATCTTCCTGAACCTCACTGCAGCTACAAGGAATCAAGTGGATCAAGGCAGGTACGGCGACGCCCTGGTGGGCAAGGTCTGGACCAAAAGAACTGTCTGACCAGTTGGAAGTTGCCATCACCAAGGGCAGCACTGTTCTCATTGAGAACCTCCCAGAGAGCCTTGACCCAGTTCTTGACCTCTAATAGGCAAAAACCTCATCAAGCGTGGACGGTGAGATTTCAATTCTTTTTAGAAAAATTGCATAATAATCGGATTTAAAATCCGATGTCTCATTTGGAAATTAAGTCATAACATGTTGACTTATATGTTATAGATGCGGTCATTCCCATGTGGTACAAGTACAATGAAGCTTCTGACTTAACCTAGATATGGTGATATATATACTGTATATAAAACTACTTAACCATGTCATAATCATATAGTATACATTTTCTTTTGTGTGATGGACTAGTGCAGGTACTGTATATACAAGAGTTTGCCACCAAAATGTGACCTACACTAATTCTAGGCGTGTCATGTACACCATGGAATTATGAGTCAATCCTAGGATATCAACCTAGGTTGAGATTGATTTTATAGAACCAATTTGTTTTTTGCAAACAACTGGTAATAAATGGCTATGCTGTACTACTGATACTGGCCTACACCGAATGTAAACTACACATTGTCTCCTCAACTGTGACCAGTATGAGAACCACACTGTTGAATTTGTCTTTCATTGTAATGGGGTTGAGTTATACATAGTTATGGCTCTCAGGGTGTGGCAGTCAAGAGGATACAGGGCTCACCTCATATCAATATTGGTACTTGGGATAGTCTATGCGGTCGAGTGTACACACACACACGTTGTTCCATGTGAATAAATGCTTAGTTTTCAGTGTGTTGAATCCGTACTGCCTGTGGGGCCTACTACATCTATCCTTGTATAAATAAAATTTCAAATCATTAGGTTGCAAGAGAAAATATATCTACAACAAATTAGTGTAAATCACTTTACAGCTCACTCCATTAGTTGCAGTTTACTACAATTAGCTTATATGCCTGACTGCCTCCTCTCGTGGAGTAAATTGTCTAAACGTTCTGCTATTTACTATATCCATTAATTTCTATATTTTATCTAAATAAAGATGTACAAGTAATCTATGCATGCTTTATAGTTGCATAGGGTGAGTATGTTACTTTATACGCCTAGAAGTCTTTTTCAATCTCTTGATATAAGGAGAGTCTATCCTATTATAGTCTTCCTCAATAGAAACTCCATCACAGAGCGCTGAAGATCGGTGATCGCGAGATCGAGTACAACCCGACCTTCCAACTGATCCTCCACACCAAGTTGGCTAATCCTCACTACAAGCCTGAGCTACAGGCTCAGTGTACCCTCATCAACTTCACCGTCACCAGGGATGGACTCGAGGACCAGCTCTGGCCGAGGTGGTCAAGGCTGAGAGACCAGACCTTGAAGAGCTGAAGGTATGAGTTTTGTTTAGAAAGAGTTGATTTAAAATAATGCTGGTGCGTTGTACTGTACAATCGCCTAAATAAACGATGTCACTGTTTTCAGAAGCTTTCAATCAGAAAGTGGTATCTGACAACTATCAGAGTCTTTTATTTTTTATTTTATTTAATTTAGGCGGAATGCAATGTTGTGAAATAGTAACAATTACTCAATAATTGCTAAAACAATTTTTCATGAGAATAATGTAAGAATAAATCATTTAGTTAAATTTTGTATACTTTGAAATGAAATAATATGACATACCAGATTATTTCTCAAGACACTGTTCAAATACAATATGCACAGCAAATGTATTCATAACACATAAAGTACATGAAAAATTACATAGATAAGGGACTATTTTGGAATCCTGACAGTTCTTTGAAAGTGTTACTAGATAATTTAACCCACACAAGAGCCATAAATGTATGAATATTTGTGGTGACTGTACATGTAACTAATCCTCTCCTCACTGTGGATCTTCAGTACAATTTGACAAAGCAACAGAACGACTTCAAGATCCAGTTAAAGCACCTTGAAGACGACCTCCTGAGTCGGTTGTCTTCGGCAGATGGGAACTTCCTGGGAGACACAGCTTTGGTGGAGAACCCTGGAACACAAAGCCACTGCCCAGAAATCCGAAAAGGTTTGATAGTGATCGTTATTTTGCTTTCTTATGTCTAAAATGATTAAAATTGTAGTTGATATAATCGATTTATTTGGTTTATAGCATATAAATTAATATATAAGCTATGTGATTATGATACAAGGGATATTAAAATTGGCCATAAGCTGCATCATTTGGTGATGATCAGAAAGTTCTTTCAGTTAGCCTAAATTTCATTATGTTTTGTTTGTGTACAAGCGGTGGTAAATAGTATACAAAAGATAAATGCGTTCATTGTGGTGTGTGTGTACTGTATGTGGCAGGTAGCAGAGGCTCGAGTTACCAGTGTGCAAATTGACGAGGCAAGGAACTGTATCGTCCTGCTGCGCCGCGCCTCCCTCCTCTACTTCATCTCAACGACCTTCACAAGATTAACCCTATATACCAGTTCTCATAAGGTAGGACACCTAATCCGATGTATTCTAGAGTACTATATTTATTAATTCTATAAAGGGTCTTCCGTATTTACATAAAATGTCATCATAATCTTTGTGAGTCAGGACCCTAGATAGGCCAGAAGTTTAACATGTTGGTTAGATAGCCAAACGATGTTCTTGGCTGCCAGTAGAGTTGCCTTCATATAATTAATATAAATTGTATGAACTTTGAATAAGAACTGCTGTGTATTTACTGCAATGTTCATTATGTACACTGCACATGTCAGCTAGTGCAATATGGTTATAACTAAATTATCTTTTCATCCACTGAATTCATCAATTAGAAGATAAAAATCACTTTGTATCATAGTTGAACTTAAACAGCACCTCTTATATACCATTATATGTTGTCACCCAAACAGTTCTTAAGGGTCTAAAATCATTGCTGTTGTATAAAGCTTACAGATCCATCATATGACAGTAGAACCCTATGACTATCTGTTTAGTTTCTATTGTGTGTGTAAAGAATGTTTTCTTCCATCAGGCGTTCAGAGTAGTGTTCCAAAAAGCCATTGAACGCTCGGAGGCCAACGAAGAGGTGCGATTAGAGGTGTAGCGTTGATCGACACCATCACTCACAGTGTGTTTCTGTACACCACGAGGGCTTTTCAGAAGGACAAACTCATCTTTGCCGCCCAGATGACCTTTCAGGCTAGTGGTCAAAATTTTCCTTCAACAGATTATTGTAATTCTTCTCAATGTTGGGATAAATTGTATTCGTTAATGCATTGCAATAGAGCGTTAGTGACCTGCTTATTTTCAGACTAGTGACTGTATTATATCTATTTATGTGTTTACAATTATAGGTACAAGTATTCGTTATAGTTCAGGCGATCACACAGAATGTTCATGACTCACAATACTGGTGTTCAGCATAGTGCTTATGATTCATAAGTGCTGGTGTGTAGCATAGTCTTATGATTCATAATTGCTGGTGTGCAGCATAGTGCTTGCAAGTCTGGTGTCTAGCATAGTGCTTATGATTCATAAGTGCTGGTGTCTAGCATAGTGCTTATGATTCATAAGTGCTGGTGTCTAGCATAGTGCTTATGATTCATAAGTGCTGTGTGTCTAGCATAGTGTATGATTCATAAGTGCTGGTGTCTAGCATAGTGCTTATGATTAATAAGTGCTGGTGTCTAGCATAGTGCTTATGATTCATAGGTGCTGGTGTCTGGCATAGTGCTTATGATTCACAAGTGCTGGCGTCTAGCATAGTGCTTATGATTCATAAGTGCTGGTGTCTAGCATAGTGCTTATGATTAATAAGTGCTGGTGTCTAGCATATTATGATTCATAGGTGCTGGTGTCTAGCATAGTGCTTATGATTCATAAGTGCTGGTGTCTAGCATAGTGCTTATGATTAATAAGTGCTGGTGTCCAGCATAGTGCTTATGATTCCATAGGTGCTGGTGTCTAGCATAGTGCTTATGATTAATAAGTGCTGGTGTCTGCATAGTGCTTATGATTCATGATGCTGGTGTCTGCATAGTGCTTATGATTAATAAGTGCTGGTGTCACACTGGGTGCTTATGATTAATAAGTGCTGGTGTCTAGCATAGTGCTTATGATTCATAAGTGCTGGTGTCTTACATACTCTATATGTTTATGGCTCCAGGTGCCGTCTTACCTAATGTTTATGGCTCACAGGTGCTGGCGTCTTCCCTAATGTTTATGGCTCACAGGTGCTGGCGTCTTACCTAATGTTTATGGCTCACAGGTGTTGGCGTCTCAGAGGTGGGGTGATGGAGCTGGACCTGTTGCTGAGGTTCCATCCAGCCCAACGTGGTGTCCTCCATAGACTTCCTTACCATGGGGAGCCATCACCCTCTCTCCCAGGTGGACGAGTTCAGGTCTGACGCTTTGATTTATCCTTAATTTCTGTTTTTTTTCTAAGCTATAATGTGTGTGTGCTGTGCTTTTACAGAGAAAATGCTGTATCTTAAGTCTCAATATTTCTTTTTAGGTAAAAATGTACTGTATATAGTCATTACAAACCCTGGACCTCATTTTATCTTTATAGCCAGCCTCAACTACCCTGTATCAATTATAATGAGGTCCATTCAATACAAATTTATTCTAATCAATAATGGATCTTAATACCAATGGATTCTTGTTCCACGTTTGGATAGGTTAAGTTTAGTTTAGATCCAGTAGTACTGAGGACACATTTGACGTATTGTTTGTGAGCTTAAGAAAGGATTTAGTTTTATATTCTCATTTACGAGATGTAACACAGTGTCAGTTATATGTTCTCTCATTCATAAGTACAGAGATAGTGTCTGTCATATGTTTTGATTTTACAGGATACAGAAGAGTATCAATCATGTATTATGTCATTTATAACTTACAAATAAAGTCAGAGGTGTAATTAATAGTAAATATAATGAAAGTCGGTTATATCATGTCATTCATAGAAACTATAAATATCAGTCATATACAGTATTTTGTAATATATAAGTTAGTATACTAGTGATAGTGTTCACCTCAACCATGTATGCACAGGAACTTGGACCGGGACATAGAGAACAGCGTAAAGCGGTGGCGGATGTACTGTGAGTGTGAATGTCCGGAGAGGAAAGCTGCCTGGCGAGTGGAAGAGTCGCTCTGATGCAGCGGCTGGTTATCATGAGGGCACCTGACCAGACCGCATGACCCACGCCATGCAGTGAGTAACCCTGGGCATGGTGGGGAGTGAGAAATGAAGGAAGGTGAGAGAAGGAGTCAGATAGATAGATAAAGAGATAAGCATATATCTTAAGACAGGGTGTGATATCTAAGAAGAGGGTTACAATTATCCCTGTCGTCACCAACATTCTACGGCCATATTTGATGCTTGCATGGGTTAATCGTAATTCTCTGATGGTAGTCATAATACAGGGCTTGCAGCCTCTTTCAAGTAGTTTCTCACAACCTATCCCCAAGTCATTCCTGCATCTCTTGACCCAGTTGGTCCTTGCTCACTTCTGACTAAAGTACCTCACAACTGTACAGGGTTGGGGTTGACATTTATATCTCTATTATCTTTAAAGGTTATTCATTGAAGAACGTATGGGTCGGAAATGTGGAAGGAGAAAACATTGACTTCTCTCAGAGTTACCAGGAGTCCGGCCATCCACCCCATCTTCTTCATTCTCTTCTCTGGTGTTGACCCTCAAGGTGGGCCAAAGAGCAATTTTCCTATAAGTCAGCTGTTAATTTGTCCCCACCCTCATGAAACCTTGGTTGTTGAGACCTTTTCCAAAATTTTTGACTTCATAATTCTGTCATCCAAATTTTAATTTGGGTTTTAAACATTGAAGACTAGTCACACTGATGACAGTGTGACTTCGTATATAATTTGATCTTCCTTATTGTTACTTTCTTATCATTACTTTTGCACTGATGCAATGTTGCTAAATACAGTGCTATCCCCATTACCGGAACAATTGGTGCAGAACACATCCGGGAATCATAGATTTCGGTAACGAGACAATTCTTCTCAAAAACCGAAAATCCTCATTCCCGGAATTTTCCGGAACGGAATTTTTCTCAGAAGTTTCAGAAATTGACCATTACATCATCTCGAACCCGAAAATATCCTTATCCCCGGAATTTTCCGGAAAATGTGAACCCGGAAAATTTCAATTCGCCATCGAGAGTTCCAGGTTTGAGGGATTTCAGCTAATGGAGATATTACTATATTTGGGACAGTTTATGCTTTAGTTCAGTCATTCTTGATATTTTTGTTGGTCTGGCGGTGTTAAGGTGTTTTTCTTGAACTGAGAGATCTTAAAAAGTATTTGTAAGTCAAAACCCTCTTAATATAATTTTTAGTAATCCCGTCAAACTGTGCAATGTGAAGATCTGCTGTAAGAGGGCAGAGTTTTATATGTTTGTGTGTTGCACTTTTATTTTTTTATTTCTGCAACCTTCTTGGTTGTATCCTTTTATTTTTTTTCTAAGTTTTTCTATTTTTAACTTTTAATTCATTTTCTCAACGTACTTACTGTATTTCTTTTCAATGTCTCTTACTTATTTGTTTATTTCTCTGTTTATTTATATTCCCAAATGCCTTTAGTTATATTCTGTTTTGGGGATTAATCGGAAGAACCACATCCTTGTCTAGCATTACATACTTGTACAGAACTTATTGTACTTACATCTTTGAGCTGCCACCATCCAGGCGTTTCTTTAGAATATAACCTCTACCATCAACCTCTCAATTAAAGGTTAGGCACTTGAGTTATCAAGTGTATTTCAGGATGGAAAGCGTTAGAAGGAATGGATAATGATACACACATTCTACTGAATCAATATTTATTAAAATACAATCTGGATACTGTGATAATTTGAACCATTACTCACAACAAAAACTTGGGTTCAATTACTGACCAATAGGTCATACTTTATAAGTAGCAAAAGATCTTCAGTTATCATTTACAACATACAAAACTTATACCTCCTTAAGGGTATTATTACACAACAGTGACACTAGTGATGGTTACTCTAAACACTTGTCAATAGCACAGTGATGGTATTATTCAGAGCACCATGCTATTACCTGATTAACAAACAGGGAAACATTCACCAGCACCTTTCAGCTGTGAGTACACCTGGTTCACTCACATACATCACAAACCAATACTGGTGATAGTAAATATTACTATCACCAGTAGTTTCCTAATAACTCATCCACAATACTGTACACAATAATCATTAGCACATACTGCCAGGATGAGTACACCTGATATTTAAAACAAATGCCATGCGGCTTAACTTCTAGCCGCTGCAGGCCTGTGCTCCAGGGCTCAATCTCCTTTGACTGGCTCCGCTCGTGTTGCACTCAGATCTTAATTCGATGAATTAAAAATACTAGGCGGCTACCGATCCTCGGCAGCCGCAAAAACACATACAGTGCCTGATAGACAAGGAAGGAGCGTCAAGAAGTAGCTGAAGTCAAAATACAAAATGTGACAAAACACATCTGGCAGAGAACAAATGGATCATTCAACACAGAAGGCACCCAGTTACATTGCAGTATCATTTGATACCTAAGACATTCAACTACGTTAAACAAGAATACTGATATATTCAATAAAGTTCAACTGAGTTAAATTCACTTAATATGGCGGTGTGTGACACGGTACGTACCTGATAGACGAGGAAGGAGCGTCAGGAAGTGAAAACACAAGAGGTTCAGAAGAATAAAGAGATTATGAAGACAGATCTACCGCGAGGATTAACAAACCGCCTGGCGGCGACAAACAGCAGGCAGCGTCGTAAGCGTCAGGTGCGCTCTCATACGTCAGTTATATACGCCATGATGCCACAACAAGAACTTACATACATATTCATTTGACTCGGTTGTGGTATATATTGGGCCATGAGAATCAGTGTCATGGATCACATCAATTTATTAAGGTTAATACTTACAAGGTAATCAGTGTGAGTTTGCAATGCAATAATTAAATTGAAATAAATACAAAGACTGGCAATCACATTTCGTGCTGACTCAGCTTGAAGGGAACAAGGTGTGTTCATTCCCAGCCGTTATATTTCAGGACAGTGAGCAGTTGACAGGTTTCTTCAAATGATTAATGACTTTCTTAAATACAAAACTGACAATACTTTCAGTACAGTTGGCATAACTCTGATGACTGTGAATCAAAACAATCTGACTTCAGTGATGAATAGAAATCTTTAACTTCTCACAGGGGAGACAGGATTCTCAACCTCTATTGCAAATGCTAACACTCGATTTACTTGACAATTTCACTAAAAATAAATACAGTTGAAGCCAACATCACCACAATGGATGTTGAATGTTTCAGCTATAAGCAGGTATATTTTGTCATACAGTTACACATACGTATTTATTCGTAATTTCAATTATACAAACACAACATGAGATTTTTAACATTCTGAAACAGATGAGAGAAAACAGACATCTCAGTGGGGGACTCAAGAAATAAGTTATAGCTACATGTTTTATAGGCTATTGGGCATGATATTAATCTGCTGATTTTAAGTTAACTAACATGTATGACTGTGGTCAGTACACCGTGACGCGACTGTCATAAACTTGTTGCACAAAAGTGTTACTTGATAATGATTTTCTTTAGTTAAGGAATTTTGTGTGTAAAATTGTTGTTTTAAATTTGATGTTCACATACTGTACATCAAACTGTGTCATAAATTAAATATTTAATTTTTAATATACAATCGTGCCTTCAGCATCATCATTAATTTTGTGTCTTCAAACTTTAACATTGTCTAGTTACTAGTACATAGAACATCAGTGAGCTTAAGTCATAATTATGTACATTTGTTAGCCTGTGATGACAGTCTTCATATATCATGATTCAGGACTCGGTGTGAGAAATTACTTATTATTTCATGAACTTACACATCATATCATAACTAATCAATTGTATTCCACTACCATTGTTGCCCTACATGCAACAGGTCTTGTATGGTTGTACATATTAAACATTTCTCTAACTCTGTTACTGTTTTTGTTCTAGTTAAAATGAGGGTATTACTATAAAAAAAGGGAGAAAAGGTTGTTGACTACCTCATGTGTTCTGTACCCAGGAGGTGGAGCGTCTGGGCGAGCGTCTCGGCATACACTAGGAAAACCGTCGCCTTCACAACGTGTCTCGGCCAAGGTCAGGAAAGGTCGCTGAGGAGGCCCTCAAGATTGCTCAAAAGAAGGTCATTGGGTCATCCTGCAGGTAAAATTTCTTGTAGCTCCTCATTAAGGCTGGTAAACTATTAGGGTTGATGGAACTGTATCCTCTGAATGCACGGCAAGGCAATGTTCTTGAGCACTTTAGGGTCATATAGGTAAGGTAGATTAGGATGTTCATATCTGTTGTAGTTACTGTGCAGTTTTGAGGGCTGCCATTAGGTACTATGACTGACCCACACAAGCGTGGAAAATGGCTGTAAAACAGTAATGACGATGACAGTTTTGCATGTTGTTAATCGGACGTAATTATAGTAAAAAAAAAAAGAATGCCTTTTGGCTATAAACATTTATGACCCATAACTATATGATATCATATAAATTAAAGAGTAGTGTGCACCATCTGGTCTCACATGCATGACCCATATAGATGCTAAATACTGCCAGGTTTTGAGAGAGTTTGGCTACAACTGTCATTATTCTTCCATACAGTCCTTCCTAACACCTAACTGATAGTACAAGTATTCAGTCTTCCTGGTGCAGGTAGTACAAAAATCTGTTCTTCCACAATATCCACCTGGCTGTTCGGACATCTTTCCTCCCCTTACACAAAATCCAATTGGCAGTTCAAACATGTGTTTCTCTTACAGAACATCCACCTGGCTGTACAAACATCATTATCCTCTTACAGAACATCCACCTGGCTGTACAAACATCATTATATCCTCTTACAGAACATCCACCTGGCTGTACAAACATCATTATCTCCTCTTACAGAACATCCACCTGGCTGTACAAACATTATATATCCCCCACAGAACATCCACCTGGCTGTACAAACATCATTATATCCTCTACAGAACATCCACCTGGCTGTACAGACATCATTATATCCTCTTACAGAACATCCACCTGCTGCACAAACATCATTATTCCTCTTACAGAACATCCACCTGGCTGTACAAACATCATTATATCCTCTACAGAACATCCACCTGGCTGTACAAACATCATTATATCCTCTTACAGAACATCCACCTGGCTGTACAAACATCATTATCTCCTCTTACAGAACATCCACCTGGCTGTACAAACATCATTATCTCCTCTACAGAACATCCACCTGGCTGTACAAACATCATTATATCCTCTACAGAACATCCACCTGGCTGTACAAACATCATTATCTCCTCTACAGAACATCCACCTGGCTGTACAAACATCATTATATCCTCTTACAGAACATCCACCTGGTGCGTCAGTGGTTGCCGAGGTTGAGAAGAAGCTGGAGGCTCATTCAGACGCTGCCCACCAAGACTACCGCGTCTTTATGCTGAACCTGCAAACAGACCTGAGAACCACATTCTGCCCTCAGGTAACATAACTCTTGTGCTAACTACTCAGGTGTGTTAACCCTTTGGTTAATTACATTCTCCTCGGGTGACTTAATGCCTCTGTTAACTACTTCCTGATTCAGGAAATTTATTTCTTCTGTTATCTATATCCTCCACAGGTAACTTAAATTTGTTTGCAAATTATATCCTATTTTAGATAATTTAACCCTCTTGTTAAGTATATCCTGCCTCTGGTAACATAATCCATCTCTCAAATACATCCTGCCTCAGGTAACTTAACCCTTTATTAACTACATCACTCATAATGTAACCCTCTTGTAACTGCATCCTGCCTTGGGTACCTAACTTTCTTTTCAATAATTACATCTTGCCTCAGATTAGGTATTTAACCTTCCATTCTCCCACTTAATTGAAACTTAACATTCGATGGGTTAGCTGTAAAGTCACAACCTCCATCTTACACTTGACCTCCTATGACACACATGATATTCGTTGAGGGCAAATTTTGATGTCTGTAAGTTTTTCTGTCCTATCTCAGGGCATCCTTGGAGTCGGCCATCAAGATCACTAATGAGCCGCCCAGGGCATGCAGGCCAACCTCCACAAGGCCCTATAACTTCACGCAGGAGACCTCGAGATGTGCTCTAAGGAAGCCGAGTTTAAGTCCATCCTTCTCCTGTGTTACTTCCACGCCTGCGTTGCCGAGCGGAGAAAGTTTGCGCCCAAGGCTGGAACCGACCATACCCCTTCAACACAGGTAGAACATTTAATGATCACCTTGTCCATCGTAATTTGCAGCTGATGTAAACAACAGTGACAAGAGTATTAACCTACATTTTCTCATAGTTTTATAACTGTCATCTTTAACTATGTACTGTAATTGATCACATAAATGGATCAAATAAATCAGATCTTGCAAATCTTCATACTTAATCACTGTTTAGAGGGACTGTTGAATACAATGAACAGTTTCCTTGAGGTACACTTCGTATCCATTCATTCTGCACATCAAGACTGGTGAGACTATGAATGTCCATTTATTTCACAAACATTTATGATACTGAAACACATGACATTCAGTCATTTATACTACAAAAGAGATGTATTTCTTTAATCTTTGACTGATGACCATAACTAACAAAGAAAAATAATACATATGTAATAACATTAATAACATAACATACAGTACACTGCCTTTACACATTTTTTTGCTTCACAGTGCTAAAAGCGCCTGCCCCCATCACCACACTGTCAGGAGTCTTCCTAACTAAACCATCTAAATGCCTTCTTCCCAGTGATCTGTCATCAACTTTGTCACCTTTGTATTACTTTTTTAGCCTCTATGTACTACAACCAAAGCTAAACAGTAAAGCATTTTATTTACAAACAACTGCAAACAATATTTGCATTTAAATACCATTCTAACACTTTTACATCAGATATACGAAATAAGAACTGGCTTTTTAAGTCATCAGATTATACATATCCACAACTCAAAATACATTCATATTCACACAATTAACTCCTGAGATACAACTCGAAGTCAAGAGTGTTACTGAGATTGCTAATGTTGAATTTTGAACAATAATTGTTATAAAGTTTAAAATGTTCGTTACCCGTGAACTTCCTCTAGGTGACCTAACCATCAGCGTTAATGTGCTGTGCAATTACCTGGAGGCCAATAGCAAGGTGCCATGGGAGGATCTCCGCTACCTGTTCGGGGAGATCATGTATGGCGGCCACATCACTGACGACTGGGACCGTGTTCTCTGTCGAACCTACCTGGAGGAGTTCCTGCACCTGACCAGGTAACTTGTCTCTACAGATATCAATATACAAGTACTATAGGAAATGTATATCACACTTGCATTGGTATAAATCAGGTTTTGTATGTACAGAATGAATCTAAAAATGTTTGTTTAATCACACACACACACACACTATTATTGAGAATAATAACAATAATACTAATAATAAAATAGTAATAATGATAATGCAAGTAATACAATTGTATGTTTAATAATGATTCAAGATATCAACAATGATGAAACACCCATAACAATTACAACTCTGTTACCTTGAAGAAAATTTATTTAGATTCATCCATTGATATTATACATGCAACACCAATGGTATAAAATTTTATCAGTTCAGCCAACAAACACTCATCTCTTACAGCTTGACGGGGAGTTGAACCTCGCCCAGGCCCCACACCACCGAACTTGGACTACTCTGGCTATCACAGCTACATTGACACCTGCTTGCCCGCTGAATCTCCACATCTGTATGGCCTTCATCCCAATGCAGAAATTGCTTTCTGACCATGACATCGAGCACCTGTTTAAGACGGTGTTTGAGCTGCAACCAAGGGATATGGGGAACTCTGAGGCGTGGTCATCACAAGAGAAGACAAGGTCACAGCAACTATGTACTCATGGTCTACTGTTTTCTGTTTAAAAGTTTGTATAAAAGGCTGACTTCACCTTTAATCTATTTTTTGTATTTTCTCTATCCAACAACTATGAAGAATTATTTACGATTTCCTTGTACACACAGATGATGGATATTGTAAAATGCCTTATATTGCAAGTGATTTTTTTTATATGCAAATTCGAAAGAAAATAAATTAATCTTGCAAAAAAATGTTGCGTATTCATATTAGTAGTTATGTTGCGGCATAGGTGTATTGATCATTTAGGAATCATTGGATTTAATGTACATAGATACTTTTTCGATCTTGTGTACATATCATACTAAGAGCTTCAATAAAATGCCCTACTTCATTATAACCGTGCTGAAACAAATGAATGAAGATCAAAATAGTCAACTAATCTTCTTTCTGAAACTCATAATATTAAGAACAAGATATTTGACAGTAAACAATTCAAGGAATATTACTTGGAAAATAATTTTATTCAAACACAAAGAAATAAGTTTTATGATAATGGTGAGTGTTCAGAAATTTTTCATGAGATGATATTCTTAACAGCTCATTTGACCTACCCGGCAAGAGATTTAATCTTTGATCTATTGAGTTACCAGTGTAACTGAGACTCACGGTGGTCACGCCCTTTCAGGTGAAACAAACACTGGATGAAATCATAGAGAAGCTACCGGAGGAGTTCAACATGGTGGACATCACGGGAAAGGTGGAAGAGCGCACCGTATGTGGTGGTTGCTTCCAGGAGTGTGAGAGGATGAACCTACTTACACGCAACATCCGCTCCACTCTGAAGGAGCTCGACCTGGGCTTTAAGGTATGGCATCATAACGCTTTCAGTAGTTATCATAGGAATGGCACCTTGAGTAGGTCTTGAAGATATAGAATAGGTCTCCAGTATTTTCACATCAACATTTTCACTCCCGGAAATAGTTTACTCCTAGTAAATTCACTCCCACATTAATTTACTAAGGTTAAAATGTATTAATGTCCCATAATAGCAGCTGACTGCAGTAACTGTATGAGTGAATAGGTTGTAGAATGCATTAATGGTGTTTGCCAGAGAATGGCTCTGGATGACTTAGTGAAAGTCAAACACTGGGCAGGGGACAGGACTTTCAAATACTAAACAGTACTGCCCAAATACACCTCATCAGATGTACACTCTTCATATATAGGTAGGGTCAATCAGTGCTCCAAAATTAATTAGCACATCTTCCAAAGAAGAGACGTACAGTTGCGATCCAAAATTGCATCCAGCCCTTGTCGTAGCTAGATCCAGAAGGGCCTGGCAACCAAACTTTGGTAAGTCAGTAAGTTGCCAGACGATGCAAGATTAATGATGGCAATTTGTTATTTAAGTTTTATGTTTCATAATAATGATATGTAAAATGATAATGAAAACTTCGGGATGGGTGATAGATGCAATACTTTGTGTGCACTGTATTGGTGTTCTAAGGATGATTATGATTATGGGGAAATTATTTCTGATCTCTGAATTTTATTGTATTTACATTGTTAAAGGAACTGTAACCTTGACTGTGTTCATTACAAATTAGGTATTTCTGTTCATCCTATATATAAATCAACGACACTGGACAAAATCAGTTATATGGATAGGTAACAGTACAGTATTAACAAAATATATAATGATTATTACTATAAAATGACGGGATATAGACGTAAACATTGTCAAACAGAAGAGACAGGAAATAAAGGTGTGTGGGGGGATAGGATATGTGGTGGTGATGAATGATGTCGTGCCATTGTAGTGATGGTGAAGGAGGGTGGTAGATGTTGCTGTTCAGTGGTGGTAGTGATGGTTGATGTTTGTGATAATGTTTAACAGAGATTATGGATGAGTGGTGATAGTGGTGAGTATTAGTGTTGATTGTGTATAGTAGTTATGATAGTGGTATTGGGTGGCAGTCATGGTGATAATTATCAAGAGATAAGTTATGTTATTAGAGCGCTGTTATGCCATAGTTGTAACGTCATTAAGTTTGAGAGAGGTGAAAACATTAATTTGTTTCCACAAGTGGATACTTGGAAACTAGCTAGTTTGTATTTGTGAAAATCTAAGAAAATGAGGGCATATCTGATGTAACCACTGTAAATTGGAAGGAACTTAACAAACTGAGGTTTAATTTAAGAAAGTGCAATTGCAATGACAAATGTTTTGTTTTTTCATATGTAAAATTACATAGTATCTCACCTTCCAAGAGTTAATACTTTGTCCAATGCCCTGTGCCTCAATGTTTTGCAGACACATGGGTGGAGTTCAAAACCCTTGAAATCTGTCGATGCCACCGAATCTTCCCGTACCTTGTTCTCCGTCCTCTCGAGTATTCTCCTCCACCGCCTATTCCTGCACCATTAACCCCAAGGTTTTTGATTAACAACATTTAGAGGGTCAGTCAATCAAGTGGATTGCAGGAATAGAGAGCCAGTCTCTGATGACCCGGCTGGTGCAGGAGATTGGTCCTGCACAAACCAGACTGGCAGTGGCTCTGTGGCAGGGAGGAGAATGGCTGGCAAGAAAGAGGTCTCCACATTATTAATATATTCCTGGCCATTCAAATTTCTAGTTGTTACTAACTCACAGGTCCGCTGTGCCACATCCAGCCAAGGGACATACCACTCCTGACCTGTTCATGGTTGTAATTTGCTTCATACCAGGTGTGTAGATTACCAACAGTGATGATGAATTCTATAAAATGTACCACAGATACTCACACACATAATATGTATAACCTGAATACTCACTGTCATGAATTTCTTGCTTGCATCTCTAGAGTCGAGCCACAGGTCACCTCAGTAAGCAACCGTGCCACTAGTTACCAGTGCCCAGGTGAGCAGTTAACCCATAACCACTGGACAGGTTAACTTGGGTAGCCTTGCTACATCCAGTACTTTCCTGAAATTCACTCGATATTACCCTGTGTACAAGTATGAATAGACAAAACACAAAGCCAAGTAGTGTTTACCCAAGCCCTGCCATTTCAGAGTATCAGAACTTATCTACATTAATTGTAGAAGGACACTATCACAAATGTTTTCTCATCGAGACACAGACAGAGCACCAAAACCCATATCTGCATCAACGTAGGCTGTGCAAACTAAGACATGCTTTTATTGCTTCCATTAATTGTTCACAGCTGGCACACGCCAAGGCATTTGGGTCTGGTTCAAAGAAACAGCTGTTGTTAGCTGGTTCTGGGTTACAACCTCCAGCAGTTGCCTGTCATCATCTGGGGAGGTGATTGCTCCGATATTCACATTTCATTAATCGAAATGACTTTAAGGAACGCACTCTTGCGATAACTGGGGTATTCCTGTTCTTTTGGGATTTAACATAGATGTACAGTGGGTTATTTAAAATGTTAGGTAGTAAATAGTTCTTTGGATTTAAGAGAGAAATACGAGTGTGAAATCATCGATGGCTCACCTATGTACTAAAGTAGAATGTGAATGTTAAAGAGATGTGGCACATTAGAGATCTGTGTAGGTGGAAGAACTAATCAAGATGTTTGATCAAGGAGGTCATTCCTACAGGGGAACTGAAGATGACGTCATCGATGGAGGAACTGTAGTCATTGTTCCTGGACCAGGTGCCAGAGAGCTGACGGCACGGGCCTACCTCCACCTTGGCCTCACTGCCTGGTACATGCCGACTCCTGAGGATGAATACCTGGGTCGGCGACTTTCAGGTTATTAGTTTATTTGTTTTGTAAATCTACAATGAAAATTATATTAGAATTGGCTTCATGAAAGAAAGTGAAATTGTGGTGCTTTGTTTAAGATCATAAATCAAACATATTTAGTCATTTACGAATTGCATTTGTAAAATAACTCGCCAACCCATTAACGCCTTTCCTTTCTAGAATATCAGTACCACTTCAGACTAATTGAGTCAACGATACTGAAAATACCTCAAAAGGGATGCAGAATTACTATTGTGGCCTTGCCAATAGAGATGGGTGTACCTGAGTGTACAGTATACAGCATTTACCTATCCCAAGGATAGCTGGTATGCTGTAAATGGGTGTTTAACCTAATAGTTGATATAAAATGCAGAGATGCATTGCCGACCACACTGCTCCCTTGTGTACAGAAGGTTTGGCCTAAATGTGCTATATCCACATCTGTCCAACACTGGCCTTCATGCCTATGGAACCTGATCTAATGAAGTTGGAGACACTTTACAGTTTTATCTATTGCACCATCTGTCCAATTTGTCCACTTAGTTGATAATTTAAGAGCTACATTGGATCATTGTTAATAATGAGTTTGAAACCTTATGAATGAATGTGTTTTTTTAAATAAGATGTTACAATGTATCTGTGACCTAGTACTAAACTCTTGAAGTGATGCTTATTGTTGAATCCCTAGAATGACCTTAACCCTACTTCATGGATTTTGTGTACAAAGCACGGTCTTCACTCTTGAGGTTGTATACTGCCTTCTGAAGGAAACTATATGTATGTTTTTCTAAGATTTTATGTAGGTTGGATCACTGGCCTTATAACAGAGCTATTCTGGACAGTCACACGCTTTTAACAAATTCTCAAGGCTTGAAATGTCACCTTGTCTCCCAGTGACTGAAATCATAAAATTTTACGATAATTCAGTAATTCCTTAAAACTCATGCAGCCAGGAGGTGGCTTTATGCTGCAGGTTCCTCCATCAGTGTGGCTTGCGGGCTTAATCCTCAGAGCCTTTGACAGCAACTGCAAACACCGCCCGCAGTGTGAGCTTCCTGACCAGATGTGTCTGCAGGATGTAACCAAGAAAAGGGAGGATTTCATGAGAATCTACCGTACAATTGTGTTGAATTTAGTTTTTTTTTTTGGGAGGGGGGGTATCGTCATTTACATCTTCTAAAAGTATTTTTAAATGACTTGACGTGACAAGGTCAACCTTTTACATGTGCATGTACCATATTACACGGTTAATAGCATCAGGCTTGCAGTTGTAAAACCATTAGTTAACTGTGGACTTGTAATATTGATTTTATTTAGCTGTTGGTGGTAAATGGTTATAGGTTTGCTGATGGAGAAAGGTATGCACGATATCCGCATCCTGTCGCATCGACAGGCTCAGTAGCATGTAGCGTCATTTCATTGAAGGACACTAATACGTCATAAACAAATGATGATAGAAATAAGTATCTGCATTTTGACACACAATATTTAATACAGTATAACTAAACATCCATTATATTGTCATCATGTGACAAATCACACAATTATAACTAATCCCTGGTAACGATTGCTGTAATACTATACATTTAGCAATAATAGTTAAGATAGACGTCAGCCACATAAGCACTGCATTATCCACAGGTCACGCCGCGGAGGAGTTACGTCCATGGACTCTTCCTCGAGGAGTCCGGGACCTCGACAACTCAATTCTCATAGACTCCTGCCTGAAAGAACTCCATCCTCAGATTCCTGTCATCTTCATCAAAGTGAGAGGAGGGAGGATGGCAACTGTTTAGTGTTTCCAGTTGTTGAAACAAATGACTTTCCTTCATTAATTTTCAGATGCACTTCAATTTGAAATTAGATAAAATGTTTTTTCTGTGTGGAGCAGGTTTAGTGATAAACTTTTGCTTTGATAATTTCATTACACAGAAAAGATGTTACCTGTCACTTGAATGTGATGGATCAGTAAATTCTGATACTATAACAATGTACAGGAAATAGATACAGTAAGCCTCCCCAACGCGAGCGAGTTTCAAAACGGCGTGGGAATCCGCGTCTGAGAACTTAATATCTAATGAAATTAATGAATTGGGGAACTCACCACG